TTTAAAAAAATATATTTTCTGTCAATGGCGTATCTAGGCATCTTGAAGTGGGAAGGGGATGATGGGGCACAAAGGTGGAGTGGGACTCGGTGGTTCAGTGAGGGGTGCTAGGTCGCAAAATAAGGTGATATGAGGCAATTTTTAACTACTACTTGAGCTTTTCTTTTGCTTAGGACATTTTCAGTGGGAGAACGGTTCGGGTGGAGGGGGCTGTAAGCTTTGTAGGGGGCATGCGCACCCCCTAGATACACAATTGTTTTCTGAAAATTCAACATACCTTTTGATTTTATTATTTATTTTTTCTTTATTCTATAGATATTATCAGTATAATTCATGGATGTATAGAAAGAAAAACAGATCTTTGAAAAATATGTCAAAATATAATTTATAAATTAATACAATTTTTTGAATGTGAATATTATCCTATCTTTGAAGTTTAGCATAACATTTTGATATAGGAAATCAAGCCGATTAATTCCATCTGTGAAAGCGGCTTAGGCTTGATATTTTCTCTATTTCTCGATGGCTTTCACATTTAGATAATCGGCCTGAATTTTGTCAGATTACTTTGATGTAGTGTTTTTTATAGACCTTTTATAAATTTTTACTCAAATGTTTCAGCCTTAAACGCCGAGTTGGATTTCGATCAATAATTATCATTTCATGTCGAAGCCAAGAGTTGTCATCGCAGGAGTCGAGGGTTGTTGTCGTGTCTGGAGCCAAGGGCTTTTGTCATTGCAATAGCCAGGAGCTAAAGTACTGCCTCAGCCTAGAGCTGCTGACGTCACTCTTGAAGCATCCTAAATAATGTATACCTTTCGATGTATGCTTTTATCTCTACAGAATTTCGGAATGAATTGAAACAACATTGATTACCATATCTTATGAGAAAGTGTCCCAAAGAAATCAGTCCTTTGAAAATTTGTTGTTATGACTTCTGTATTTAATGGTGACGTTGGTAACAACTAGTAGAGTCCCCTCACTCTTATCTTTTCTCAAGAGATTTCTATTACAAGTCATTTATCATACAAACAAAATTAAATTGTTTTCTTGTGACTTTTTTTTATTAGAATTTGCCACGGTCACAAAAAATAAGAGTGGAAAAAGGTAAATTTTGTTCGTTCGGACCTAAATGTATCTAGAGGGAATTGAAATTTGTTAAATTTGACGTGGTTTCTGTGGTAACATATTGATAGGCAAAAAAATGAGCATGAAAGAAACGTCGAATGTGAAACCTTAGCGAGATGAGCGTGGTGATTTATCATCATCAATTCTTTTCGTGACATGGAGCAAAAGACAAGAACACATTATGGAGGTTCTCAATGCCGTGGGGTGTTTTTACTTGGTTTTTCAACAAGAGGAGAAAAAGCAAGATGTACAGATCATGGTCACATATACAGCTGCTAAAATGTTTTTAATAGGCTGTGTTAAGAATGCTTGAACAAGAAAAAAAAAAGCATTTTTACATGAAAAATGATTGATTTTGTTTTTACTGTAAAAGAAATAGTTTATGTAGTTATGGAGATACTGTGAAATTTAAATACTTGGAAAGAATGTAAAATGCAAAATTATAGGAACCATCAATATGTTCCCAGACTGTATATATGACAATACCAGCCACTGACTGGATGAGTCAGTAAGTCTCCATAATCTCTCATAGTAAATTTAATGTCTGTTTTTGTGTTGTTCCTTACTATATGTTACGTCATAAAGTTTGCGCAAAAGTAAACAAGTCGTACCTAGCATTAAGTACCTTATTGTAAAAAACTATATATATAAATAATAATATTAGGTTAATTTAATGAATTTTAGATATTTAGTATTAGAATTATTTCAATTTTGTTTTTATTGTAAATTATAATAAATGTTATGAGTATATATATTATAGCTTTATACACAATACTGCCATATTCTTATGCTAATTATTCAGTTTAACAATAGTGGCAGTATGCTGGTTTTGGAAATTCAAGCCTCAATTAAATTTGCTGTATATCTTCATTTAAATTTGAATCGTAAATTTTCTAGAAACAATTAATGTTGTTTTTAATAATTTCACACTTTTTATTGAAGTTCTGCTTGTTTTTTGTGGTTTTATTTTTTTAATTTATTTATTTTTTTTGTGTGTGTGTTTTACTGTATATGCCATACCTATTAAGCCCAACACTATTCATTGTCAGGGACAGACTTGAACCATCCCGAGAAATATTAAACATTTAAACGTTTAATATTCTATGACGTGACTGCCCCTGACACAAACCATCGTGTCTGCATTTAACTCACACAGACCTGATGCGTCAACAAATAGTGTTGGCCTGCATCGTACAACACTGTCTGGGTTGGCCTTTAGAGTATCATCATCATTGTATCATCCAGTCTGTTTTACGATTGCAGTAAAGAGAGTTATGGATTATTATTAATAGAACCCTTCTCCGTGGCAGCCAAAAAGTATCTTTATTTAATTTGTTGGTACTGTAGGTGTATTGTTTTGAATTTGTTTTTATAAAATTTAATTTATTTGTACGTACATTAAACTTAAAAGTCATTGCTGAATGGTGATTCTGATGTATTTTGGTGTTTATTTCCATTTTTTTTTTTATTCTATTGTAACTTATATACAATTTGGCCTGATTGCCACAAATTAAATTTTCATAAATATTGAATAAAGAATAAATCTTGTGTCATTTTTTACAGGAGCTTCTAACGACTTGGTATATTAGCTTCCTAGCACTCATTGCAATCTCATTTTCTGTGTACGCTTTGGAACACAAGGACAATCCAGAGGACTTTGAAAATCTCCCAGACTCATTATACTATGGCTTGGTAATGATTTTTTGTTACATTTTACTTTAAAATCTCTATTGATTTGTTAATTATATGTACCAATAGCAGAGCTAGTCATCGAACTTAGGTATATCCTAAAGCTAAGATTTAATTGTTAATCTATATATGAACTATTTTCAGGTTTAAAACATTAGCATGTCTTTATTTAGTATACTGCTGCATTATTAATAATGTGTCTGTATTTAGAAACTAGAGTAATGTGTATTCAAATTTAAAGGGATTGTGAAGACTTAAAGAGACTCTCCAAATGATTTTACAAAGTACTGTAAATTTATATCTATCAAAATTGTATGAACAGTTCAATGGCAGTGCACACAGCAGAAGCCTGCAGGCACACATGTAGGAGAACATGCTGCTTTGAAAAACATTTTTTTCCAGTTTGATAGTGGCATTTCTGTGCTAGAGCTGCCTATAATGAAATTTGCTACCCTCACACCCCCCCCCCCCCTTAAGGGGTGTGTATGAACCCAATAGAGACTTTGGAACTCACGTCATGAAATTTCTTTCAATATTGAGATGCTGTCTTTGCATGTGTTCTTAGGTAAAGCTACTTTACTCTTAATTGATTATAGGCTGTCGGATGGGTGCAAAAATGAATTAAGTTCACTATTTTCAGCCAGGTATACTGGGAAATCTGCTTCAAAATCTTATTTTTTTCAAGCCATCTAATCAGAGATACAGAGGTAAATTGTGGCCCCTGAGAGTTTTCACATTTTTAGTTTATTATTATTAATGTATGCCTACTATATGATGTCAATGAAGGGGATTACCACTTAAGTGTAAATGGCTGATTTAATAGCAATCCCTCCTGTGAGTCTAGTAAAAAAAAAATCAATTGCATTTATGTATAACAAAATGTGTGAAGTGTAATATTAGAAAATCTGTCACAAGTCTATAAAATCTTTCTTTCGTTATTTCGTTTAGACATCATCGGTGTTAGGAATATTACTTAAATATGATAAACTTGACACAGATCAATCTGAACTCTACACAAGTCTTAAACCTTGATTTTGATTACTGATTTAATTGCCCCAATCATAAATCCTGTTAGAATAGCTAATATTCAGGTTATAGATTTTGGCTGCATTTAATTTAATTCTAATATTGGTTTTCTATTAAACACATCTGATTAGAGACAGTTGCTTTAGATGTGTTGCACGTTGTACCTTGGAGCAAATTTTCTTCAAGAAGTGTGCGCCCTCATGCTCTCCATAGTTACACCAATGGAGGGAACATTACACCACAGCCAATTAGACTAGAACAAAATTTCATTTTCATTTTATACAAATGCAAATGTAAATCTAGGCATCGATATTGAATAGTAATTTAATAATAATAAATAAAAGCGCCCTTTTGTTTGGAAGTTATGCATGGTTTGGTAATGTAAGAAAATTGACAACAACAACAGAATACAACTTTTATGAATCAGACTGGGAAAATTCTAAAACAAAATAGACAATTACAGTAGATGATATCTGTGAGATTAAAATTATTGATAAGAGAATCTTAACAGATAGTTCTCACCCACTAAATGCATCTTTTACTTGGGTTCCCACCAACTAAACACATCTTTTACTTGGCTACCCTTGTGTAAAAGGTTAAATCACAAAACCTGTAGAACAAAAAGATATCTCAACTCATTTGTACCACTATCCATATTCTTAATCAAAATATCATCAAATAAGTTTTAGGGCCTAATTAAAATTTCATTTCATTTCTTTAGGCATGAACGCCAAGGATATGCCAATAAGTGAACTTAATCACTGTCCTACGTGGCATATCCATTAACAACAGGGGACTTAATGGACCAGTACACCGGGGTAACCCCCTACTCTTCTCTGAGATGTACTGGGTTGTTGAAAGTGCTCACGAGTCAAATGCGTACACTGGGCCTACGGTTTAAAGTCCTTATCTGAGAAGACTTTTCCACCACAGGAACCATTGGCGAGTGAGCTATTCGAACCAGCGGCAATATTAGAGCTGAAGGTTACGGTGCCCTTGACTTAACTGCTCGCCCAATCAACTCGCTAAAAAAAAAATATTTTTATTATTTAATATTAAAAATTATATTGTTGTTCGTTGTTTGTATTAATCTTGCACTCTTTTTTGCGATGCGATGTACAAACTGATTTCCTGGAAGGGTACAAATAAAGAAATCTTGAATCTCATGCCGATAACGTATAAGAAAATAAATAAATAATTATATATTGCCATATACAATACAATTTTTAAGATATTTAATTGATAAAAAAAAATAACTATAAAATGCTTGGTTAAATTAAAAGGGATTTTGATTTGTATTATGTTTTAACAAATTTTAAAAGATAATATGTTATTTAACGAAAAAAATAAGGTAAAGTTGAATTTTTCAGGATAAATTGAAGCCTTAACACTTGAAAAGTTTTATTATATCAAAGGAGAGAGATTTTCAAATTGCAGTGGCAATAAAACATGTGGCGATGCAATGACCATCATTCACACAATCTCTTGGCATTCAAGTTTCTCTTGACATATGTTGATAGTACTTGTATAGAATATGAAAATAATGGTAATGGGGATGACGCACATCTTATGTAGCCTATGTTAACCGCCTTGAGGCTTTCTGCTGGGATATTGAATGAAATGAAACTTCGAAAAATGATTAAACAGTTTATATCGCACTCCTGTATTCATCTTAATATTTTCCTTCGTCCTTTGTGGATTCTCTCCATCTGACGAGTCTTTCTCAAGTAAAGTGGATTAAAAGATGACGTCATTAATGATTATATTTTTTTTTCATCGTTGATCTAATAGGATTAATTGCTACATTTAGTCGCTATTTTCTCATCATCATTTTCATTGTAGGAGTTCAATTAGAAAAACCCAGCTTTTTACGTAGAGACATTGAAAGCAATTGTATTATGAAGGTAAAGCCAGGAAGTGCAAGTGAAAGATATCTTTATCTTTCTGTGAAATCTATTCACCTTATAGCGTCGCTTTACCTTGAACTACATAAGTACACCTGCATATTCTTCTATCAGGTTTCTTTTCTTAACATATAAAGTTGTATTCTTACAATTTATACCTGCGTTTGACAGTATGTCTCATAGGCAATTCGGCAGTCCATTCCCATTCAGTCCCAATTCAATTCAACTTTATACATGGAGGCCCACATCAAAACAGGGTTGTTCTTCCCGGGCCTGTGTACATAAATATAAAATACAAGCGAACAAAAACCCTTAAGAAGAAGCTCCCTCTTTAGTTTGCATAATTATTCTCAAATAGTACCATAGGCCTAATACTGTAAATGAATTTCAAACAAACAGAGGTAAACAATGAAAAACGCGCTTGGTTTATTCAACAGTTTAGGTGATTTAATGCCGATTAATATACTAAATGACACAGACTAATGTTTTCTCTGATGTTGTGATTGGATAAAATATACTCTACTATATCTTTTTTTTTACTAATGATTTTCTTGTTCTTTAACAGGATTTCATGGTTGAAATGTGTTTTTTCAGTAGTTCTATTGTTTTGTAGTAGTAAATTCCCAAAATTTACAGTATTCATTTTGAAACAGAAGCCCCTCTTTACTTTGCAAAAGTAGTCTCGTAAAGAAGCCAATCCAACAGTCCTAAAAAAAAGAGAAGCCCATAGCTTCTATTCAAGGTTTTATGGTATAGTGTTATTTAATACATCAATGCAATGCTTCAAGGTGATTTAGCTTTGTGCTTACGTGTAGAAAGTGTTGTAGCAGGATCTTCAATCCTAATGCTTCTGAAAGCTTGGTGTCCATACAAGCGCTACACGCTATTGAAGACAGGTTTTCGGTGAACGATTGCATTGAAAAGACTGTAGCGAGAGTGTAGCGATTTTGAAAACCTGCAGGCTTTACGCTTTTAAGATAAACTGTATTTCCCTATATTTGTATAGAGCGTTATAGAGTGGTTCAGAAGGCTCCACTTAAATGAGGCTACACACTTCATTCTAGCCAATTAGGATTGCAAAATTACAGAATGTATTACATGTTGCGTGTCTGAAATTTAATCTTTTATTACAATTAAAGCATTGTTACAACAACGTATCATCTGCTAAGCCTTCAAAGGCACTCTTGCGTGATTTCCTTAAAAATTCATGAATATTTTCAATAAAGAAAAGTAGTTTTTTAAATTACTAGACCATTGTGTATCAGATGATAAACAAAGATAATTAAACTTGTAACTTGAACCCACTCTCAAGAACTATCATTTTCAGTATCGTGCTATTTTGAGGTTGAGGCTTAAAGAATAAATTGGAACTAAAACAACTCATGCAAAATGTGTTAGTTCACGCTTCAGATTGCAAAATGTTCGTCAGGAACATACAAACAAATTTTACTATATATAGCCAATAATACTGAATGATCTCTATATGTATATCTCTCGATTTAAGTACCATAAATGTGAGTAAATGTCAGATTCATTAATGTTGTGAAGGCAGAATCAAAGAATATCTTCATAAATTTTAGTCAGACCGAAGTACAGATTTGTTCTTCCCAGTGTAACCTCAATACTGATTAGTAATTCTTCCTCCTTTTTTTCCTTTTGATCCTGTTTAATACTGGTTATTGACACCAGTTCTTAAAATCCATTTATGTCAAATGTAAATCATGTTTTTGAAAGATTACAGAAACGTTAGTGATCTATCTGATCGAAAGTTCCATTTGTCAGAATGATTATTGGGGGGTTTTTTCTGGATTTATTTTTCCATTTCAAAGAAGTTCACTAAATAATTGGGTAATGGATGCAGTGAATATCCCATAAAGGTTATTCTAATGTTTGTCGGTATGATTATTAGGGATGGCGGGAGGGGGGGGGATTCCCAGATTTATTTTCCCATTTCAAAGAAATATGGGCAACCACAGAAGTCACATAAAATTTGCTAGAGTAAACAGAGCTTTAAGCCAGGTGTACACTATACACAATAGTTTTTTTGCAGGTCCAACATATGATGTTTGGTCAGACAGAAAGTTTGTTCAAACATTGATGTACTGTAGTACTGAAGTACTGCAGATCATTATTTGAAAGATAAGCTTTTTTTGATCGGTACAAGCACACAATGTGTGACCAAGGATTTTTTTTTTTTTTTTTTTTGTAGTCTGGCATAAAATCAGCTTTAGTCTATCGTCTATACTTAGACACATTCCTTCCAAACTACCAGAATGCATAAAATGTTGTACTGTATGTCATAGATATGTTGCATATTTGTCCTAGAATCTTGTACTCATGTCAATGTCAATATATATTAATATTATGTATAGTTTATTTTCATCTGCTTAAGTAGGTCGATAAAGTTAATATTGATTAGATGAGCATGATAAATGTTTAAAAATCTAAATAGACTGATTGATGCACAAGTTGTATTATATCATCTAGAATTTTGAAAAGTATTGACATTTTTAATGAATTTGTGAGTCTTATAGTCCATGTAGGTAGATTCATGGCGCTGATCTAAAATAATGACAATTTTATGAGCTTGATGTTGAAAAAAAACACACCATCTTAGATGCTCTTATAGTGTCTTAGTTTGCTAGTATAATTTGACATACACAGTTAACGATGGCTAACCGCATGAATATTGATCTTTATATGCTACGGCAGTATTAAAACAACTCTGTTGGTTAATTTCCTAAGTACTGTACTTGTCAGGCTTATAAAAACCTTGCTAGAATATTGAGAGAATATGAGAAGATTTTAAACGATTATGAATTTTATATTATAATACAGTGTCTGTTTAGTCATAATGTTTGCCGGTTTTAATTGATTTTTGAAAGCTGTTTATAAGTTCAAACTGCATCATTTACACATTAATTGGCGTTGTCTTTAGGGGTCATTCACAATTATCAACATTTTCGCACATGTACAAACAGTACCATACTCTTTTTTGATACCTCCTCCCTCCCCTTTCACGCCCGGCTTTGGAGAAAAACAATTTTTTAATATGTTCATTTGCTGAATTTTCTAAGACACAAAAACCATATTTGACGAAAAAAAATCTCCATTTTCATCAAATATGCTTTTTGTGTCTTAGAATAATCAGTTGTACAACATAGCAAAAAGTTTTTTTCCTCTGGAGCTTGGCTTTAATTCGTATTGGCTTTAATATGATAAGAGGATACATTTAAATATTCTGAATTGTCGTTCATTACTATTGTAAATCTATCAAATGATATGTTTTGAGTGTGAATGCACAACAGCTGAGTAAAGTATTGAGCAAAGTTACTCTCCTTTCAATACTATAGTTATTTTCAATTGCAGGACCTGGCCACAGAATATTCTCAGTATAAAAACAACAGCTCTATGCTGCCATTTACTTGTGCAATAAAAAGACTTTTTTTTAGGATTCCACACAATGTTTGTCAAATTTATATTGCATATTGCATTTGCTCTGAACTATTTAACAGCTCATTATTACACTAATGGAAACAGGTTATACAATGCACAACATTCTCTACTTGCAGGAGAGTAGTCTAGAGATTTATGAATATTCAATATGGACCAGATATATTGGAATAGAAGACCTAGAAAGAATATTATAAATTATTTTATGAAATTTACTATAAATTAGAGATTTTCTAAATGTAATTATTAAATCTTTTCTTATTATGATGGATTAATTTATCGATTTATTGTGTAGTAACTTTAAATTCATTGTGAGTTTGATAATAATACTAAAAATATTTGTTTTTTTTTTATCTATCTCACTCTTAGATTACTTTAACAACCATTGGTTATGGTGACAAGACGCCCACTAACTGGTCGGGAAAGTTGGTGTGCACGTTATTTGCGATCTTGGGTGCTTCGTTTTTTGCGCTTCCTGCCGTAAGTACACATATTTGTTGAAAATAGTAACGCAAACAAGCAATTGAGTAAGTTAATTTATTGACAGTGATTTTCTTTCACCTTAGCAACTGAAAATAGTAGAACAGTTGTTATGACATTTGAACTTCTCTTGCAGAGAATATCATTATTGTCAGTACATACCTCCTCAATCATGTTGTAGGAATGTTTGTCTTGAATATTGCTTGCCTTTCCTAGAGAGGAAGTTCGAACAGGTGATTTTTTCATTGGTGATGTCAGGTAGATGACTATAGCATCTTAGCACTCCAAGCAGAGTCACTGTGAGTGGACAGCTTGCAGTACAAACTGCTACAAACGTGGAGGAATATTTTTTTTATCACACGTTACTTGATGAATTTCTTTCTGAATGTGACTGAATCCGTATGTATTGTACAGCTGTCTTGTTTTGTTTTTTTTACCCTAATTTTTTTAATAATTATTAAATTTTAATTAATTATATAGAATGTAGTAATGGTGAATGGCAAGTTTATCAGTCCTCCTACCTGTTGGCAAAGTTTTTTTTTCTTTTGCTTGGGAAATCCCACCTTCACTCCAAATTCCAAATCTTTTCTTCATGTGTTCTTTTTTCATTTCACATTTTCATAGTGCCTTTATATAAATAATTTTTTTTCTTTTCATCGATTCGAGATACGTTATCACATTAATATAAATTTTAAAAAATAACATTAGAATACGACTTAGATGAAACATTGAGAAAAATAAAAACTATTGTAATGAACGCTTTTCCTTATTTTTAAATTTAGTTTTGTTGTTTTCTTTCCTTTTGTGTCTGGAGTTCCCCTTAATTCCAAATTAAAATATTATTTTTCATCATGTTTTTTTTTTTCATTTTCACATTATTATATTGTCATCTCAATTCATATAAATCACAAGTTTTTTTCTCATTTCTTATCAACTTAATATACAGTTGATACAGTTTCCTAATAATAAGAATAAAAATAAGAATAACAATAATAAGAACAATAAAAATAACAATATAACTATAGTTGATATTATGATCATTGCAACTACCACACTAATATCACTAAACATGATTTATTAGGTCTATTATTAATTTGTTCATTCATTCATTTTTTAAATATTTTCATTTTCACATTGCATTTTATCAACTCTATTCATATAAATCACAATACTTTTTCTCATTTCTTATCATATTAATATAAATAGTTTAAGTAACATTGGCATGATTATGGCTAACATACTTTAATACAATGAGCATTTTTTTTCATACCAGTATTATTTAAAAAACCTACAGAATTATTATTCAATGTTTTTTCTTAACCATTGATACGCTATACTAACCATTTCATACATATTCAACTATAACATTAAGATTTATGGAAATATGTAATTACGATGCGATAAGACGATAACAGTGAAGATGTATGCAGTTTTTTTTTTTTTCATACCAGTGTCATTTAAAAAACAAGAATAAAGTAATGAACCGTACCTACAGAATTATTATTCAATGTACCCTTACCTTAAATAAATACCAACTGTTCAGAATTTAAGTTGAGGAATAAAACAACTTGTTCAGTATAATCCCTTCAATTTACTTTAAACAAGGAAAAAATTAAGTGAGTTTAATTTTAATGGGAGTCACCATTTACTTTCAGCTATCCCACCAGATTTTCCAATGGTATTTGATTTTAATAACCACCTCTTCAATGATGAGATTTTCAAATTTCTAAAAATAATTAAGCCTGAAAATAATTGTCCTTTGTAAACAGAATGAACTTAAATTGTTAAGTTATCTGTTTTTGTGGGTCTTTTTAATTTATTCTAATACCAGATTAATACTGTAGATAGATGAGAAACCTTTAACCTTTGATGAAATACTCATTCAATATCTTGAGTTCCAGATAACAAACTATGGCTACGTTCAGACTTGGAGATAAGCCAGGCTTGAGTTAAGCCTGGCTCAACGCTAAGCCCAGCTTAACTTTGGCAGGCGTTCAGACTAGCGGGATTAGCCAGGCGCGAGAATTTTCATAATAATGAACCGTAACCAGCAAACGTGTTTCAAAACATTGCTCGCGAAATGTACGCTCACTCACAGCGTAAGTAATTGAATGCTGATTGGTCATTTTCTTACCCGAAGTCAATGCAAGACCCCCTGCAACGATTAAAGCCCGGCTTAGAAAAGTTAAACACGGTGACACGCCAGGCCTGGTTACTATAGGAACACAGCCCGGCTTGAGATAAGCCACCTAGTTCAGACTGGCAGGTGGATAAATCCGGTGAGTTGAGCCGGGTTTATCCACCTAGTCTGAACTAGGCCTGAATAAATCTAAATTTAGAAGAAAACAAATATATGGAAATAGAATATATACTCTTAAATTAATTGTACCAAGAATCAAAAGATCTATATAAATAATATTTTTGAAAGATAGCAAAGTGACAGAAAGTTGTTTACTAATATTTGCAGTACAAGTTTTTCAAAGATTTTCTGCTTTTTTCTTCTTCACCCAATCTTTCTGAAAACATAAACAATAAAATTGTGATTTAATAGTCATTTTGAGTGAAATAAATTTGTTTATAAAAGTGTAATCTAAATACTATATGAGCTAGCATCACTAAAGCCAATATAACCCATGTATCATGGTTGAAAACTTGAACCTGTTCCCCATGAATTTCTTGCCATCATTTTAATCAAATTTTAGTCCGTAATAAATAATTATTTATTGTCTGAATCTATTAGTGACCGAATAATTGGCTTAATTTTTCTGCGTCAGTATTTGATCAACATCAGTGAACACCTGTGTTGATTGATCATTAGGTTTCAGTGAATATAGAGGAAGCTATTTATCAGGGCATCATCAGCACATATTATGGATATGAACTCGACTACACAACTGTAGTGCCAGTATTTGCATGCGTTTTCAAGTTTAGGGTAATGCGTAAAAACAGCAATTTTTAAAACGTCTAGCAACTCAAAATTGGGTCCACCATAAAAATTGGTCAGTTAAGAGTTATTCATATGACAGTAGCACAAAATTTGTTTTAAAATGAAGCTGTGACAATGTAGAAAAATATGAATAGCTAAGCCCCATACCAAAGAAAAAATACATAATACGCAATCACAAGACAACCTTTATCGCTCTTTTTTGTATGAGATATTGAATAAATCAAATCATATCAAACTAAAAACAGGCTACAAGAAGAAAAGTTTTACATCAAGGAACGGAACTTTTTAGTAGATGAAGCAAAAAATACTGAAAATCTTTACAGTTACCTGTACTTTCGTTTTTCTTTTGCTTTTATCAGTTGTTCATTGTAATTGTTTAAGGACACAGCCTTTTGGTAGACTAATCTTTGTAAAAATACTGAAATGACTCGCTGTGAATAAATAAAACTTATTAACGTTTCAAAAACCTTTGCTAAAAATTGCTGACTGACATAGAGAAGAGAGAGTATCAGTTCAAAGTACTTCCGAGTTAATCATTAAATGTAAGTGTAGTGGTAATATTAATAGTATTTTCAGAGGAAATCATATCCAATTTTTCTAATATATCACAGAATGACAAGTTAATAAAGCTACGCTTGCTTTATAGTGGATGTTTTCTGTTTGCTGTTTCATTAAATATATGCCATTCCAAGGCAAAAATGGCAAGCGTGCGAAATCCATCTTTGTCAGATAGAAACACTGCTTTTTGCAGTCCAACCAGTGGATTTATAGAAGAAAAGAATAGTTTGACAAGCTGTCTTGTCTAACTGCAGTTTATTAGGGTAATCTTATATACAGTATGCTGTGTGCCTTGAATACATTCAAATTTTAGGCCTACAGATCTGTAGAAAGCAATAATTTAACTCGCTGTTTTCCTGACCAATGCATTTACTGTAGTACTCTAATAAAAAAAAAATTGTAGATCAATTATCTATTAGGCCAAATAAAATTAGTTGCTAGTTTCATTTCCCCAGCCTCATCAAAATTTACTATTTTCTATTTCAAAAACCATCGTTTTTCCATCGAAAATAAAAATATAATGAAGATCTGAAAATTGTTGTCAAAACCTATAAAATAATTTCAAATCCCGGTCATAAAACTAACAATTAATTTTATTTATCCTAAAATGAATTGTCCACCTATTTGTCTACCCATCTTGATTATGTGACTCACCAACGATTGGTGGCCATACTGTCTATGACTAGACCTTCTCGTAGCCGTATGTCGTCACAATTGAATTTTTCATGTTAATGTGTTGGCTTTGTTATTTTTATGTGAATTTATCGCCATTGTATTGAGATTTTAGATTACTCTCAGCAGATCTGTCTAGTTGCGTGGTGATGTCGAATACAATAAATTTTATTATCTTTGAAAATGTCTGAAGAACTAGGCTAGCAAATATAATATTGGATTTATATACAGTACTGTATATACAATGTATATAATATGAGGTATATATATATATATATATATATATATATAAATCAAATAGATAATATAGTGCTAAAATATATAGGAACATGATGGTATAAAATCGTATCAAACATAGTTCAACAAGAACATTATTTGCTAAGCAGCAACTTGATTCAAGTTTATTCAGTTTTACAAATTCCACCGAGAGCTTATATCCACAAAAATTACAAAGGATATATATATTCAGAAAAAAGTTTTTATAAAATCAAATAAAGAATTAGTAATGGAAATTCTAAATATTAACAATTTTTTGTTTTGTTTTTTGTAGGGTATCCTTGGTTCAGGTTTTGCATTACAAGTGCAGCAACAACAGAGGCAGAAGCATTTTGCACGTCGGAGACACCCTGCAGCTCAACTGATTCAGGTAAAAGATTGTTTGCTTTGCTGATCCGTTACAAATCCTTTGCCAATCCCAGAAAATCCCAATGAGCAAATTCAAATTATGAAATGAAAATGTTTTCTGAACTAGCTCTGTGATCTAATGCACATTTTCTGCTTTGTGATTCATTTTTCTCTGCATCATGGGACTAGTAAAATATTGCTTAGCTAATCTATCATAGCTTTTGTAATTATTGCGCAAATCCATAAATGACGTGCTCTCTTTGCCATCTTCTGTCTAGAGCTAAATTTAATTCAAAGTAAAAATTTATTTCAATGTTCATATATTATAAAATATATTCAAGTAAAAACAGTTTATTATTTTGGTGAAATTCCGGATTTTGCAGCTACTGATTTGATATTATAAATTGAAAAACAAAAGGGTACATAGTTTCAAAATAGTTGGCACAATGTTTCAAGAGAGATGAAGGCAATATAAATATTAAACTAAATCACATCCCTGAGAAACGTAAAGTGTTGTGCCTCCATGATTATGGTGTATGCAATATTTGCTATTCTTTTATCAGTTATTTTATATGGTATGTGAATATAATAGTTTAGGCACTTTCCAATCTGGAAAAAATTGTGCCCAAACATGCGATTAATTTTGGCTTGATTGTGAAATGTACACATTGATACAGATAGCGTTTTCTTTGATTTTCAACAGTGATTAGTTTTAAAGGTTGACCATGGAATATGGAAAGGAAAAATTACTTAGTAAAAAGCAGTTTGAAATGTGGTTTTTTTTTCATGTATTGGTTAGATTTTTAAATTTAAAACCTTGTGATTTTTTTTCTGAATTGAATTTTTTTTTGTCTGATTACTAATAAAAAGTAAAGGTTTAAACAAACACTAAATCGGAGGACCAAAAATTCTTAAAAGTTTAATTTGAACAGGTCATTATATCAAATATGTTCACTACTTTCCATGACAAATAGATCAAAACGAACCCAAGGGTTTTCTCTAAGATGATTTACAGAACTTACCGTGCTACGAAAATCCGTAAGTTGATTACTAATAAAATGTATTGATATATGCAACAAATATTGGAATGTTTTTATTTAATTTATGTAGATATTTATGTATAGATCATTTTAATTATCAGTTAAATTTACCAAAATATGCAAAGTAAACAGTTCAGATCTTAATATTTACATTTAATATTCTTTCAATAAAATTTTCATGGACGGTCATACAGATGTACAGTATAATGAAAACAATATTTAAATTTATAATCTTTATATAATTTAATATAATATTTAAAGCTTACTACTGTATACATTTAAATGCCTTCAGGTCCTGTGGACCTATTAGTCTAGAAGTAATGTCTTCTTCGGCCTTGAAAATAGTTGCTTAATATAATTAGTATGTATTTATTGCAATGAAAATAGATTTACATTACACTAGATGTGAGTGGGCTAGTCCAGTGACCTTCAAATAGAAACAGTTTAGTGCTTGACCAGTATGATTTGAAGCAGGGGATATCTTTCTAGCTGTTCACAGTGTCTTTTGGATGATTAATCTCTTGGTATGGTGAGGGCATTATTTAAGATTTTGTGCACACATTTTCCTTGATGTGTCATTCGCATCATGAAGGGTCACCTTTTTAGGATTGATTTGAATTTTGTTTCTCTTCTCACCCCACCCCATCTCGCAACCTCATTAGCAGCACTTTTTCCAACGAGCCCTTGATCCTAATGTGGTGTAAAGTGTATTGGCAGAAACATTCCATCTGTTAAATGCTCATTTTTAAATACAATTTTTGGGAAATAACTCGCATGCTTTTTTGGTGTTTTAAGCATTTGAAGGATATATCTGGCCGATGCACCTCAAGGCTATGTGACCATTTTTAGAAGGAAAAATAGTTCAGATAATTATCAATGAAATAATATTGGAGTTGAATAGCTTAGTAGTTAAGATACTTGCCTTTCCATTCCAGGGTCCTGGGCTCAATTCCTGTCCGATTTGCAGGATTTTTTCTCATGACCAAAACAACTCCACTCTCTATGCCTCGCATGCGTAAATAAACATATAAAAATAAATAATAACATAAAAAATAAAATATTAAATTGCACACATGCTACTTAGCATCTTAAGTGCTCAGAAATTAAATTGAATAGTCTTTAGTTTATATTTATTTATATTTATTCTGGTATAAAAATAATACAAAAAGTAGCCAAAGGCTAAAATCATTGCATTTACAAAAAAATATAGGTGAAAATTATATACATACATTAATTACATAGTATTTCATGTGTTGAAATGCAAGCACTCAATGATCCCCAACGCCCCTTGTTTACTTTTTACTAGGGCTGTAATGTGAACCCAGTCGCCCCTGGTGCATCGCCAAAGAATTGATTGGATTTTGTGTCACATCAGATGTTGATAGTTAACTGATTTGAATACAATGATTCAGGCATTCAATGTTTGAATTAATTATTAAGGGTTTTTGCTTGTGGGTATTCTGGTAGAGAGTGCATTTGCTGATTGCCATGACATTCTGGTGTTGTTTTAATTTTCTCAGCTAATTTATCTCCAGGACAACCCGAGATGTTCTAAAAACTTTGATACCATAACTTGTTATTATAAACCTATCACAGCATAGATTCGGTGAAAATAATTTACACAATTTTAATTTGCAGATAGAGTGGTACATAATGTATATAGATAGTAATAAGTTAATAAAGAAAATAAAACAACTGAAAATCTTATCATTCCTGTCTCTCTTAGTGAACAAACAAATCTGTCCATTTGCTTTCACAGTGCACAAAAATAATTTCCTTCCATAGAGCTGACTCTATGATACTGTTATCCAGTAGGCTTACTCTTCCGAAAGCTTACATTAACACATTTATGAACATATGACCATAAAAATATAATGAACCAAAAATGTTGTGACAAAATATTACTTTTAATTCTAGAATCATGTGTACGAATTATTTGAGATTTCATTTTAATTTATTTTACATTTTTTTGGGCTATAAGATTTACATGACAAAAATTGTTATTTGCATAATTTCAGTGTCTGTGGCGTTGTTATGCAGCCGACCCCAACTCGATATCAGCAGCAACATGGAAACTTCACCTTCGACCTGTGTCAAGCCCAACAACTGGAAGGTAAATTGGGGGCATTAGGGAGCTTTTGATTTGTGCGACGACACAACGCTAGAACAGAATCACTCATGCGTGACCGTCCTACCTGGCGTCCTACGTTCTCTGCATACGTAGATTTGGCCAAATTGCGTTCCAGGATCTACTCGACGAGGTGACCTTAACGTTCTCGCATGCGCAGATGACTTTTAGTGACATCATTACGTTCTACGTCCTACCGTCGTCGTGTAATCGAAAGCTTCTTAATGATTGAACTAAGTCATTCACACAATACCAATCTTATTAAAAAGGTTTTTTTTTTAAAGATTATTGATTGCTACTGAATGTCCATGTCTGCAATAGTTATCTGTATGTTTGAATTGTTTACACCTCTCACTCATACATACAGCGGCAATGTCATTAGTATACAGTAGTTTTTAAAAAAAGAATGTATTATTGTTTTGATTAATTTATTAGGATTTATTTTGATTTATAATTTCCTTCCCACGATTACTGTAATTGATTAAATATTAAGTGCTGCGGCGCTTATAACATCTTTGGTGTGATGTTGATTGGGAGAGGCACTTCGGTGTTTATTTCAAATTATTGCAGAGATGTTTCTCATGTTACCCTATCTCTCTTATGCCTTTAAGAGCTGAATCGCATGCAGTCTATTGTAATTAAAGCAAATGAGGTTTTTAATAATGTTCAAATTACGATTAACTTGCTTCCAAATAATCTTTCAGGAATATCATATAGTAATAACAGTGGCTGATTCAAGGGGAGGGGGCTTCCGGTCCAGGCCTCTTCCCTCTAAATTTTTTTTTAATTAAATAAAATACAGAGATACGGAGAACGTAATATTCAAGTTTAGAATGCCATTTCCGACCATCCAGAAGTGTCATAACCATAAGGTTTCTTACACAGGGCTAAGGTGATCTTGTACCCCTCCTCCTCCTCCTCCTCCTCCCTAATCTGTGAAAGTCCCTGAAGGTTTAATACAGTAGTAGCCTGATAATACTAAACATCAAGGCATGTTAAGGAAGTTCCCAAGTGTTGTAAACTTGTTGAGGTGGTTTGTTACAGAATTTTGCACACAGTTTTCTACTGCAACAATTTCTCATCATCTTCATATTTTCACCTTTAGTATTATGTTTTTTATTGTAAATATTTTTGACTTGCAAATTGAATATTTCTTACCTTAGAATAATAATTAAATATAAATTAGTGGATCCTGTTCTAAAAATAGCACGTGTTCACAATTATATCAATGTAATATCTTGTGTTATGCCTTAGTTACAGAGCTTTGATATCATATTACCAAATGTATGCAAACATGATAGTTGTTTTTAGCATGATTCCTCAGTGTACACTTTATTAGAATCCATGTCTTGTATTTTTGTGCATGATATTGCGCCACCGGACTGCTGTGTTCATTTCACCCCCCTTGTTTATCATCTAGGAAAAACAGAGATTCACAGGACAAGTCTTCAACAACCAACATGCGGTAGGTTCTATCCCCTCTCCCCCCCCCCACCTTCATCAGCATGCATCCTTCTCACGACATTCCTCCAACCGGGTGCTTGATGCGGTTGCGGTTTCATGATTCCCAAAATGCTTGCTATCCCATAATGCATGTCACTAACTTCTCACAATGCATGTTTTTTTTTTTTTTTTCATGTGTATTATATTGATCTTTCATCA